CCATCTGTGCCTCTAATACAGTGTTCTTAAATAGCCTCCAGGCAGATCTGGCTGGTTTTTAAGTGCTTCTCTTTGCCCTTCAGCCTGCTGTTAACCATTTTCCTCGGCGTTTTCTAATCTGCCCTTTTAAAGCTCGTTGTTGTGTGTTGTCCCTGAGGGAACCCCCCTTTCATGAGATCAAAACCAGGAGCGTGCAGTGATCAGTTACCCGTGGAGGCTCCACAACACCTTCCTCCTGCCCCTCCTGCCTGCTCCCAGCCAGCTCCCTCTCACCCATGGCCCTGACGAACCAGGCACTGCCCTGAGCCTGCCACGGGAGGCAAGGAAGAGGAATCCTTTGCCACGTGGACTGGAATGGCACCAAAACCACCTTGCAGCTCCTGACTGGAGGAAAAACTGCTTTTGCCAGCTGTTGGTTTTCCCTCCAACACAAAAATCAGAAGTGACAGCAGCACAAACGCTGTGAAATTCAGTAACTTCCCCGACTGGTCTCATCCGTTTTCCACAGGAGGGAGTTACTTTTGGGGTTGCTCAGCCTGGAGAAGTCTCCTGGGAGACCTTCTTGGAGCCTTTCAGGACTTCATGGGCCTGTCAGAAAGATGAGGACAGACTTTTTAGCAGGGCCTGTTGTGACAGGACAAGGGGGATGGTTTTAAACTAAAAGGGGGAGATTCAGACTAGAGGGATGGAAGAAATTGTTGATGCTGAGGGTGGTGAGCCCCTGACCCAGGCTGCCCAGAGAGGTGGTCGCTGCCCCATCCCTGGAACCATCCCAGGGGAGGTTGGATGGAGCTCTGAGCACCCTGCTCTAGCTGCAGATGTCCCTGCTCCCTGCAGGCAGGTTGGACTAGATGACCTTGGAAGGTCCCTTCCCACCCAACCCATTCCATGACTCTGTGATGTTTCCCAGTATGTCAGGCTCTGAGATTTCCTAGGTTCTCAAAATCCTGAGGAAGTCTAGAGGAGGTGGTGCTTCCTCCCTGGCTCTTTGGGCTCCCCCTGTAGCTGCCTCTGCAGGAAGCAGGGTGGAAGGAGAGGTCCATGAGATGAGAAATCTCTTTGCAGATTCACACTTTGCTCTAGGAATGGGAATAAAGGGCTGATACTGAAGAGGCAGCTGGTAACACCAGCCCCTCTGCTGGCTGAAAGCACAGGGGACTGATTCATGGCACCTCACCCCAGGAGAGGGCTCCAGGTTATTCACCCAATGCAGTGGGCAGGCACCTGCTGAGCCTGCCACGGGTGCTGTGCCAGGGCAGGGACTGATCCTCAGGCACACTGATGCCCCTGGGAGGGCAGCTGGCTCCCTGCAGCCAAGGGAAGCATTCCAAAAACTGCTTCACCTCCTTGTGTTTTTGGGGAGCAGAGCCCAGCACAAGGCAACACCCAGCTGAGGTGAGGCCACTGCTGCAGAGCTGCAGCTCCCTGACAGCACTAAGTGCTGAAGCAGGGGGGAAAAAAGACACTAACTCCTGTGGTGAAAGTTAAAAAATGTGTAATTAAGCCAGCTAAATACAGTGCTCAGTGTCTGCCAAACACAGCCTTTGATCCTCCAAATGAGCCTTCCTGGGAAAACTACCAGAGTAGGACCCAACTCATCCCCTCCTGTTCAGGGCAGTGACAATGAACAACAGAACAACAAATTGGGTTTTACTTGAGAAAAAAAATGAACCTTATCAGACAAGCCTGAAATGGAACCAAGGGTTGGAATCCTGGGGGCACCTACCCACACGTGTGTTTCCTTGCTCATTCTGTCCCACTTCTTTGCCATTTCTGCCACACCACAGTGTTCCTCACAGTCCACCTGGATGCCTATTGTTTAGATTCTGTGTCTTCAAGAGAAAGCTGACAGAGCATCTGACCCTTCCTGAGGACACCCAAGCACCTCTGCAGTGTAAAAAGCCTCCACTCTAAGCACTCACCACTGCAGTACTACTGCAGTCAGCAGGTTTGGTAATAAATGTTTCAGAGTCTTAATAAACTGGGAAATTTCAAGGGTTTTATTAATAAAACCTGAACGAGATTCCCCTGTTAGGTAACTGGCCACATCTGACCAAGATTTGGGTAACAAGCCTCAGCTACTTTCCCCTTGCTCCTCCACAGCACTTCTCTCCTGCTTAGCTGAGCAAGCTCCACCAAAAAAAAACCCAACAAAACTCATCCACATTCCCCACTACAGAAGCAAAAGGGAAAAATGAGGGCAGGGAAGACAGAGAGAAAGAAAAAAGCCCCAATTCTCCATTCCAGTGCTGATCTCATGTTCCATGTCAGCTTTGGTTTCTTCCTTCCATTGGAAAGTTCTTGCAATTATTTTTCCATGGCCCACTGCTTAAGGCAGGTGATTGCTTAAGACAGTTTCACCTTTCTTCCCTGACTGAACAAGTGATTGTTCCCTCAGTCAGAGGTTTCACGGGGAGGTGGTAGCATGTGTGTAGCTCTCCTGGTGTGTCACATTAAGAATATTGAATTTTCACATCACTACTTGACTCAAATGCTTTTGTGCATGGCTCACACCTCTTAAATATACCCAATTAGTTATTGTTAGGTGAACTGGGAGGGAAACACAATGGATACAAAGGTCTCCTTCTGGTCGGAGCACCACAAATTGCAGTGGGAATAAAAGAAAAACTGGGTTTGCACATCCACCTTTCCTTCCCTGAAGAACAACCTGCCTTTTGTGACTGCCAAGGAAACCCAGTTAATGTGTTTGCATTCCAGACCTCTGCCATGAAGCTGTGGGGCAAGGAGCACGACTTAGCCAAAGTCCTGCACCTGAGATTTTGAGGTAACTCTCTTTGTAGTGGACCTCAGTCTCCCAAGTCTTTCCCTAGAAACAGTCATTTTTGTTTAAAAGCAATTACTAACCAGACTCAGGCAAGACTTCAATCTTATTTTGAACATGTCAAATCAGCTGCACATTTGGGAGGCCCTCTCTAATTTTAAGGTAAATCCAAATTCCCTCTGATCCTTGGCAAGCATTTATCTCTTGATAGCCATGTCTCCTAAACTGCCTCCCAGCTCAAAGAGCTCCCAGGCTGCCTGAGAAATGTGTAAGCAACTCTGGTTTTGTGCTGACCAACAGAGCCAGAAAAGTTTAAGTAAGCAGTCAATGGTTAATTCCTTCTTTCAGATGAGTCTCAGCAAGTCAGAGTATTTACTCAGCTGCTGAAATAGGCCCAAATATCCTCCAGTATACTCTAATGCTACAGAAGTTCTCATGGGTGTACATAGTTTTTTTTTAATAGGTTCAAACAAGTTTTAAGTACACAAAATAAATGGAAAGATTAATCCCTGGGAACCTCTGAGTCCATATTTCTTCTTCCTACATTTGATTTTCCTTTTTATACATGCAGAGCACAGATTATGTATTTTAAACCAACACATTTTAATTCCAATATTCCTATTTAATTCCAACTCCTACCCCAAGAGGAATAATCTGGTTGTCATGCTGCCCCTCCCTGGCAGTTCCAGCATCAGCCCAGTGCTGCAGCAAGACTTTAACAGCCACTTATAGGTCTGGTTTGAGTTTTTTGAAAGGACAACAGACATATTAATCTTCAAAATCAGGGGAACAGGCACTCAGCCCATCAGTGTGACAAAGGACAGGGACCTGACTCTGACCTTGCACTGCACACAGACAGGCAGCACTCACCAGAGGCTTCATCAGCAGCTGACCAAAAACCCCATTTTAGGGACTGAAATTGTCAATCAAATACCTTTGGACCACTTAAAGAAAACACATTTTATTGTTTAATACCAGATGAACAAACTAAAACCAGCTGTTTCACACAGCAACTTCAAATTTGCTCCACAAGGAAGCTTTACAGCCCAAATAATTCCCAGTGTCCTGGCAGGCAGCAGCAGAACTGGTTCCACTGCCTCGTCCCCCACACCTCTGCAGCAGAGACATGGTTCCAGAACACACCACACTGCCAAAGAAAGTCACCAGTCCCACTTCCAGCACCTCATTCTCCCCAGTCCCATCAGCTCTCAGTGCAATTTCAAATTTCAGCACATCCTGGGAGATGAACAGTCCAGAAATGGTCCCTCTCAGTGTACTGCACTCCAGCAACTGGACATTTGTGAACCTGGTGTCACAGCCACAAGGTTTCTTGACTTCCCTTTCCTCTTTACAATTTCCTACTTGAAGAAAACCAAAACAGTGCTTTTCCACAGCTCAGATACATTTTTTTTAATAAGCTGTTTGAGATCCCAAATAATTATGAATGTATAGTTAGCCACTGGAACAAATATCCTTTAAAAAAATCCAGCAAAAGCCACCAAGCCATGGAGCCCATCACTCTGAAAACCACAGTGCCCCATCTCCAAGTTTTTAGGCATCCTTCTTTTGCATTAGTTGATACTATCAATAAAAAAAAAATTATATCTTGCTAGCACAATCAATTGAAATGGATTTGATGGTTCTTTGAGTGTGTTCCCCAAAGGCAGGACCAGGACTATGGATTTTAGCCACCCCAGGCTCACTCAGAGCAGGGGCTCCACAAAGATCTCACCTGCCAAACCACACAAGCAAAAGTTGTGCCAACTTGTGTCAGGCTGAGACAGAAAACTCCAGTCTCTGCTCTGCAGCAAAGTCTCTCCCTTTTGAAGGCCAAGTCAACAAAACCAGGTAAAAAAACCACACAACTGTGCACCAGGGCCAGTAAATAGAGAAGAAATACATTTTTAGTCATGGAGGACATCTTAAAATGCATTGACTGGAAATTTAGATATGTACAGGTATTTTTTGCTACTCATTTGTGACCTCAAATAGCTTTTACAGAGGTGGTTAAATTCTCTTTTAGCAAAAAGACACAAACTCTTCACAGGGTTCCATCTGAACTGCAAAGACTGAGCTCTGGCTAGTTTTAGACTATGTTTCTCTAGCTGGACTAGAACATCAGAGAAGGCTCAGGTAGCATGCTTCACTTTCTGAGAAAGCCCTCCATCTTACTCAGAGCCCAAGAAGGGAAGTAAAACATGTTTAAAAGATTCCATTTCTAATCATCATTTTCCTCATCATCAAAGGAGAGGAGGCTGCTATTTTTTACTTGCTTAGCTGTGCTCTGAGAAGTAGAGGCTTCTCTCTTAGTTTTCTTTGCCTCTTTCATCTTCTTACTTGAACTCACGTTGAAGTCCAAAGACTTCTCTGAGGAACGTTTGGCTGGTTTCCTGAACATAATTTTTCCATCAGCAGGTTCTGGTTCACCATCTATAACAAAGAAAATAAAATCAGAACTCATCACGTATCCACACACACACAGAGACCAGCACTAGGATCTTGTTTCCCAGAACCAAGCCCAGTGAGACCTCTGATGCAACACAATCATGAGGAAAATAGATTTTCTGGCCACAAAGGCTGTATTGATGAACGTCCAGCCACAGCCACTCCTCAAAATGGAGAGGACAACTTGTAGGATCCTCTAATTCCACCACACTACTCATAAAATATACAACAAGAAACACTTATTTCATAATTATGGCACACTGCACATACACAAGACAAAGCTTTGCTTTTTTTTTTTTCTCTTACACTCTGTCCTGCTGAGAGAGCTACAGGATGAGAGTTTGAGAGTTTATTTCTACCTGCAAAATCACCAAACTATGCCAAACAACTAATTCTGCTTGTACCAGGGCAAGTAACAGTTATAAATCCAACAGAAGTCCCTTCCAGGATCAGCAGGCCAAGGAGGAAAGCTACAAGTAACATCAAGGCAGTATTTCTGGAAACAAGAAAAGTGCCAATGTGAAGTCATGACTCAGACCCAAAGGCTCGTGCTGCAGTGGTTTGCAATGTTTATGGTGTATCTGTGACAGGATGTTAAAGAAACACAGGTCCTGTGCAAAATATTTGTCCTGAAGAGTTGTACAGAAGTTTTGGAAGTCCCTCTGGTAAATCCTGGGAGGGAGAAAAGTATTTCTGAAAAGATATCCCACCCAACCCCTGGGAATGCACCACGTAGCAGCTTTCTCAGAAAATGGACCTCCATGTTGGGGTTTGGAAGTTTAATATCAAATAATTTCCCTTACTAATTGTCACTTAACTACAACATTTATTTGGAAACCCAAGTTGTTTAACTTAAACAAGATTTGAGGGATGACAGATGCCAAATTCCCCCAAGAAAATGCATCTGTAAGAAAAATCTCACTTATAAGCAGATTCCATTGATGATGTACTCAAGGCAGTGAGCACACAGACTGTACACAGTACCAGTGCACTCTGTAGCATGAGGAGCATCCAAAAAACCCTCACTGGCCACTCTAGAAGGTGATTACTGCATGTTCTTAGAATGGTAATTGGAACACCCAAGCCTATGAAAAGGTAATGAAAGCACATCCACAAAATAAATCAGATAAACAGCCAGGTACTCATTCTCCACAGAAAAATGGAAGTCAGAAATGTCAGTTTTACTCCCAACTCTCCAGCTACCCATGTTGTGAACTGCACAAAATAATTTCACCTCCTCTACCAGCTGGAGAAGCTGAGAAGTATCTTTGCACTGTGAATTTAAACCCCTCCTAAGTGAAGTGCATAAACAGAGCCAAGCTCAAAAATGCCACCAAAACAGCCCCCAGCTCAGCTCTGACCTCCAGGGCCTCAGTAGCACTGGTGGATCATTCTGCAGGAGGGCCAGGCCAGTCTCAGAGAGCCACCAAGCAGCTGAGGACACCCAGCAGGCTCTGCCCTACCTCAGCAGCTCGTGGAGAGAGGGAGGACAGACAGAAGGTGCTTTTTGTAAGAAGAAATTTGTGTTGATTTGTTAAGATTTGTCTTTTCTGGCTAGTAAAACCCCTTCACTTTGCCTTTCCTGATTTCACCAGGCTCCTACATGTCAGCTGGCTTTTTTGTTTGTATCCATGGCCTCCAAAAACTCACTTGTACTAAGCAATGTAAAGAAGAGATTGAAGAACCAATCTCAGTGTTGGTTGTTTTTCAAACAGAGCCCTGATAAAAGTCTGTATCAGTATTACAAACTATGGAAAGAGGATTTCTGATAAAAAGAACCACACAAAGTAAAGTACAATCAGATTAAAGCATCACAGGAGAAATTGTCTCTCTTACCAGAAGTGGATTTTAAGAGATTAACACCAGCAGGTCAAATTCTGACAGTTCTCAGTGATTGTTGCATTTAGCTGGACCACAAACCTTCCCACTGCTGGACTCAGAGGGGCTCAAGCAGGCATTGAGCTGAAAACTCACTTCCCAAGTCACATCCATTTAAGAAGCCACAAATTAAGATTTTTTTTCTTCTCTAAATTACAAGAAAAGTAGAAACAAAAGTCTGAAAACGAAACACTGCTCTTAGTCTACTGGCTTTTTTTCTTTAGTCATCTGTAAGTTTCTGTAAAATTAGCTTTGATTGCCATGATGAAGAGCAGCATGAACCCTGTGATGGAAGGGCTGGTTAGGCTGAGGAAAGAGCTCCAACACCCCAGACAGCACGGGCTGTGCTCTCCTTGCCCCTCCCACCTCACCCTCTCCAGCCCCAGCATGCAGCATGAGACAAGAGGAATATCAGAAGGCTGTGACTGAGCAAGGACACCTTCTGCCAGCCTGGGTCACCTGCACTTATCAGTGTCCCAGAGGGCAGATGAACTCAAAAAGCAGCACAAAAATCAACTCCACAGCCTGTAAAGAGTGCTGGGATAAAGCACCTCCCAGCTTTTCTTTAGAGCAAATTTAATTTCTCATGAGGCCACTTTTGTCTCTGAACCAACAGTAACAACTTATAAAATGCTGCATAAACACTAATGACTTTTTATTAAGAAGAATTAATAAAAATGACTCCCTCTTAAGTCAGTGCTCCATGAAGAAAAATATTTCAGTATGGAAAGGTGTTTTCTCAGAAAAGTTCAGTCCTCAATAAGAAAGTTCCCTGAGACAATACTTGCCAAAGCCAATGTACATAATTCACTACACTTTGTTCAGCCTCAGGAGGCCACATTAAGCACAGCCAGGACATTAAGCAGCTGGTTTTGCCCAGGCAGTGCAGAAGGGTCACTCATCTGAAACAGAAAAATGCAACTACAGGAGCTGCTGGTGCCCAAAATAAAACGTGGAGCCGTGAGGGAAAAAGGCTGCAAATGAGATGTGGGAAATCCTGGAATATCCCAAACCAAAGCCTGAAGAGAAGGACCTTCAAATGAAGGCAATCACTGCAGGTATAGAGAGGAGAGAACCCCACGTGCCACTGCTGCCCATGTTCTGAATAACAACCAGCTCCTACTCACAGCAGATCCCTCTGATTGTTCAGAGGGCCTCAGCACTGCTGCCTGGGGGAAAGGAACATCATCACTGGGAAATTTACTTCCCTGCTACCTGTTCAGCTTCACAGAATTTCATTCATGATGTAATTTGGGGCTATATATGATGATCCACTACCTGTTAAATTCATTTCACTTTCAGCTCTGGGATAACAAGAAAAGCAACAAGAGAGACAATCAAATCATGGAGCATGAAACTTAATTTATACTTCCCCTTTTCAGAATTGACAATTATTAAAAAAAAAAATTAAGATATTATTCAAAACTCTTTTTATCAAGCTGGAATTAACCAGCTGTCTAAATAGTGTCTCTGACTAGAAATAGGGATTTAAATCTGGAGGTCAGACTGAGAGCAAGGTGGCCAAGGACTCAGAAAAGGCTTCAGAAAGCTGTAGCCCAGTCACCCTCACCTTCAGAACATGTCACACCCACTCCTCCCCAAGGCCAGAAAAGGGCAAGGGGGCCAAGAGCTCCTATTGACAGCAAGGGCAGATGAACAGGTACCACAGTCACCACACAGAGGGTGGCAGTCCCCACAGCAGAGGCTTTCACCACTCTGCTACCTACTGCTGTGGGATTTCTCCTCCAAATTAGGTTATTGCTGGAGGGGTAACAAGCTGAGGTGCCAGAGTTCTTCAGGGACTCCACACCACCATCCTCACAACACACAATGATGTCTTTGGAAAGGCTTTTCCACCACAGGTCAGTGACTTCCCTCACACACACTTCTATTTATCACTGGGTATTCAGCTTGGTAGCTCTTTTGGACTCCATAAACTCCATTTGTAAATAGCCACAATGGCTAGCAGAGGAACAGGTCCACATCTTCTATGAAACACCTTTCTCTTGGAGACTTGTGCAGTTTCACCTCTATATTCTTAATTGTCCAGACATTTCTGCTAGGGACAGTAACAGCTATCTTTAATCTGACAAACTTTCTGTCAGCAAAAAGTAAAAATAAAGCTGCATTTCCTCACCCCCTGTGTGATAATGGAAGGTTTTGGACTCTCAGAGCACTTATGTCAACTATGTCTGAATTATTTAGGTGAAAAATTCAAAATAACTAACCAAAGGTTAACATTAAATGGTAAAACCTGAGCAAGTATCCCTTTAATGGGTGATCTCTCTTTGGCTTTACAAAGCAAGGAATAGGTAGATGGAAACTCACCTGATTTGTCTGCCTTCAAGGCCTCTTTGATCTGCTGTTTAATTTTCATGGCCTCTTCAGCAGTCAGGTCCCCTTCCTTCAGGGTCACCACTTGGGGCTGCTCGTCCTCCTTGTCGCTGCCGCTGTCCTCGTCTGCCAGGGGGAGCTGCTCTCTCTGCCCAGGAGAGGGAAAGCCAAGCTGAGAGACGCTGCTCAGCCTGGGCTGGCACCTTCCCACACCCCTCGGGGGGCAGAGCTGGCAGTGCCAGCCCCTCCCAGCACCCCTGCCATGCAGATTCCACCCCCAACACAGCCTCCCCCAGAACAAACTGCGTGGAATCCTTCACTCAGAGACCACCACAGCCACAGCCTGGAAGGCAGGACATCAATTCCTTCTGTTCTTTACCTCACAAGCCCTCTCTGCCATGCTACACTGTGAAAAACCTTAAATGCATCAGGCCAAAGAGGGAAACGTCATCAAGTCTGGCAACACTAGAACTAAAAACTTCCATCTTAAAAGGGAAAGTATAGCTAGTGTTTCCACAGACCTCTTTAACTGAAGATCCACAATATCCTAGTGATATAGGGGAATAATAATAATAAATAAAATAATGGTTAATTTCACATATTAAGAATTTTAGAGTATAGAATAGTATCATATAGTTTAAGAGGAAAAGAAAGGGCTAGCAGATGGAAAAATTTGCTTTCTCTTGCTAGCAAGGACTTATTTACAGCTAGAAGGGACATTCTGGCCTTCTCTAAGAGCCCTGCCCATAATTCCATTCTAAAATATCCTGAAGGATCTTGTCCAGTGATGGGGAAAGATTCTATTCATATACTGTACTTTATAACTTTTGAGTTATAGAGTCTGTTTCTGTGCATCACTAGAGTTGAACCTCCAAAGACACCCAAGGCAAATAGAGCAAGTGGGGAAAGCCAGTTGTCTGTTTGCACATGGATTATTTCCACATTGTTTGCAATAAAAAACATTCAGAGGTAACTTGTATATCCACAGTGGCACAAATTTGATTCCAATCAAGGCTGTAACTAGCCACTGGTGGGGAGAGTTTGGGTTGGTTTTTTTTTAATAGGTCAGTTTTCAGCTGCACACAGGTTGGGATCATCCCAACATTTGTTTCAGTACAACTAGGTCACAACTGCACAAACGGTGCTACCCAGCCAATGCTGAACCAAACTTTAAATTTAAATTTCCTTAGTCATGAAAAATAAAAAGAAAACAGATGTTTGCACACGCTGGAGGACGGTAACAAGCCTCCTTCATAAACCATCCTGCAAAACGTGAGCTAGCAGGAAACACATGCAAAAGCACACTGGGAAGAGGGAAAATGGTGCCCTCAGACCAGGCTGCCTTCAACAAGGTGGCTCAAGTCCCACTGCCCCTGCCCTCCCTGCCA